CAGATCATCAAGTCCGACCCCCTGCCATGGCAGGAAAGAGCACTGGTGTCAAACGACCGCAGCAAGGTGTTCATCTAGCCTCCTCTTAAAGACCCACAGGGTAGGAGCCAGCACCACTTCTCTTGTAATATTACAAGGAAAGAGGCTTGGAAACATAAGTTGCATTATACTGAAGAATCCTTTCTGAGCATGATTCATCTTGCAATCCTAGGATAGCCAAGGAGCCTCTCATGCCGTCTTAGAAGGGGTTCTGAGCAAGATCTTAAACACTATTGACCTGTGCCTAGCACAAAGTACAGTTGTGAGAGATGTTCGGAGATGCTGTTTCATGGTACCTGGATGACCAGTGATTCTTAACCAGAGTGCCACCACACCCTGAAGTGCCTGGAGATTCTTTCAAAGGTGCCATGCAATGTTAGCACTGGATGCCAACACGATTCACAGGAAGAATCCAGAGATTTAAAATAGAAAACCATAGTATCAAAAATATTCTGACTTCTTATGGTCCAACTTCTCTGCAACAGAAAAATTCCTCTATTATTTTTCAGAAGTCCAAAAACATGCGAAAAACAAAAGATAATTTTTTGAGGGTGCCTTGAGTCTAAAAAGGTTGAGAAACATTGGAATAGACAGAAAATGACCTATTGAACTATACCAAGCTGAACAAGAAAAGGCTTGACCTATTGAACTATATGAAGCTGAGAAAGAAAAGGCTCTTATTCACACACACATTGCCAATAAAAGCAAACCAACCCCCAAAATTATTAGCTAGGTCTCTTGGTATGTGTTGCAATCTTTTCTTTCGCCTTAAGATTTATTATAGTGGATTGGTACAAAGCCAGTCCATGGGCCAGATCCTGCGTGCAGGATCAGTTTGTGGCTTGGATCCCATATTGAGTTAATATGTGAGGTCGGTCCATGGGTGTGATCTAGCACACTGGCCTGGCCACACACTGGCACAATCTAGCACACAGTGTCATGTCATCATGCCTGCAGGGCTCCCTACAGAACTGGAAATTTGGCAGCAGGGGTGTGGCAATTAACAATGACACCGTTTTCTCGTGGGCCAAAACTGGCTTGCAGGCCAGTGGTCAAGAACCACTGTTCTAGTATCAAAGTCCCTTTTCCATACCATTAAATGCTACACGTCAAGTCTCTTTTTCCATTGCTGATTAAACCCAGAGGTATAGCAAGCTCATTGAGTGCCTGAGTTGGGAGAGCAGGGGGAAGGATATGCTGACCTTTAGACAAGGGTGGGGAAGCTTGGGTGGGGAAAAAGGAAGTCCTACTGGGCTGGGCTGCTGCTGGAGCTTCATGGCTTCCTGGGAGCTGATCCCATTTGCACCCCCTTCTCTCCACCCAGATACATACATATTGTGTGTAGGGCTGTGCCTGGTCTGGAAAGGCTCTTTGAGGGAAGGGGGGGAAAAAAAGAGGGGGAGAAATAAGCACCATTCCATTTAACCCATTCACCCTCCACACTGCATTTTGAAGCACCACTCTGCCCAACTCTTATGACTGGGCAGGGGCAGTGCATGCCTGCCCCTGCCATAGCAGAAACTTACAGCAAAGGGAATTCTGGTGCCTCCTTATAGTCAGCACCCAAAGCTTTGATTGTACTGAGTACACTGGAAATAACCTGTGCGTTTTAGATTATATTTCTACATATATCTTTTGTGGTGTACGGAGAAGTTAATTAGAATAAACCCCTGCTGCTGGTGGGACTTCCACAGCAACAACGAGAAGAAAGCCAGTCTCAATTTATCTGTTTCTAATGCATCACATTAAAAAACATGGTAGTTATTCAATGTAAATAGCTTTGTTCTTCATGATGATGAGGAGGATAAATTGCATTTAGAAACAAGCTCTTTCTGGTTAATTCTGTGCCATCACATTAACTAAATGTGATTAGAGTTTAAAATGTCCTGGCATTCACTAACATGTTTTAACACAATGGTTCTTATTCTGCATAACTGCAAAGTGATGTTGGATATCATGCTTTGTGACAATATGTTCCATCTGTGTAGAACAGGCTTTACAAAGGTGTTGTTTCTCCAGCTCTGGCTGGTTCAGCATAAATTAAAAAAAAAATCATCTTTCTTCTTTCTGTTGTTCACCACAGGAAAAAGTAGGTTGGAGCATTATGGCAATTAGGAACCCTGAAGGATTTGATGGAGTGAGGTTTGATTAGTGAAAAAATCTCTGACCGCATCCTGACAAGCGTGCATGTGCAGGGGCGTGCGTTTCCCATGGGACAAATAGTAGTGGCATGTATTTGTGCCGCTGCTCTTTATCCCAGGGCATGCTCCTGCATGCACGCTCTGATGTGCGGCAAATTGACGTGAGTGGAGTAGAGGAGGCTGGGCCCAGCACCTGTGTTGGCCCCAGCAGCCTTACTTAGGGTCCTGGGGCAGCAGCAGTGCCAAGGGCTGCTTGGAGCCTGCCTGGCAGCCAGAGCATGGTTCAGCTGGCCAGGCTCCATTTCTGGTGGTGCACGCTGCTGCTGTGTACACTATGCCACTTTTTTTAGGGGCTTTTTTTCTTGTTGTGACACTGGGATCTTCTGTTGTCAAAAAACCCTGCTGCACTGCTAATTGCCAGCACGGCAAATGTGTGCATGTATGTCACATGTGGTTTGCAGTGCCACAAACAGCTTTCAGGCACTGCAAACCGCACGTGTGCGCTCATCTGGACGTGCGCTCAGAAGCTTGCCTCTACAGTTGTGTCATGAGGAACATAGAAATTGGGGAAGAGAGTAGAACATCTTCCATTCTAGATCAAATGGTAATTATACCAAGGGGGTAACTTCAGAAACAAAGGGTCAAGGAACAAAGACCATAGACCATTCTTACAGTCTGGGAGAGTCCTGTAGAGCAGTGACTCTGAAAAAAATTTCAGCATGCGTAGTGAATAGATAGCCACCTTAGTGAATTGGCCCCTTGGCTGGGGCCAAATGAATGAATACAGTCCTTCATGGTTTAAGTATAAGAGTGGCCAGTTAGGAAGGTTATTTTACCTAGTGGAATACTGTGGCCAGTTCTTGTATCTAAAAGAGAATGGTGAGAAACTGGAGATGGTTTAGAGAAGAGCCATAAGAAAAATGAAAGTTTTTAAAAACCCACCTGATAGTGAGGCACTCAAGGGCCTCAGTATATGTTATAGAGAAGGTTAAAGGGTGACAATCTAAGAGTACTTCCTTGGAAAACACAAAAGTTGACAATAACTGGCTTCTTCCATCTAGTAGACAGGTATATAACATAATGAAGTGACTGAAAGTTAGAACTAGAAAAAAAAAGTCATACCAAGACTAATCTACAGATATTTGACAGGATAATTAACCACTGGAATAACTTACCAAGGATTGTATGATTTTTTATAGAATATCTATCAAAACAGAACAGAATAGTCTATCAAAACAGTCTCTTCTGGCTTCAGGACCTATGACTCTACAAACGAGGCTCTGCTTCTAAATCCCAAGCTTTCCCAAACCAACCATCAAATCAAATTTACAAAGCTCTAAGGAGCCTTTTACTTGGTTTTCCATGCCAGAAATGCTAGATTTCTATTCTCCCAGCCTTGGGAGCTGAAAATTGGCACTAGGGACTGGACCTATGCTTCGAAGGAGCACTAAGGTTGAGTACAGACAGTCAAAAAGCCCAAGGCTGAATCGATTCAATCTTCACAGATTAGTCTAAACTGCATTGATGGAACTGATAAGCAAGTGAACAGACATTCACTTTTGTGGAAATGCAGCCACAGGCCTGCAGCGGCCCAGGCTAGAAGCCAGGGGGAGTTAGAGCACACCGCCATGCTCAGCTGGAGCAGACAGCATGGGCCAAGGCTAGCCTGCCCACCCTGCAGGCCTGAGAGGTTGCCGGGGGGGAGTATCCGGAAATGCTGGGGGATTGTGAGTTAACAAAAATCTGGAGCGGGGCTGGGACAGAAATTCAATAAACCAATTATCTAAAGACTGATACTACATCCCTCCAGGTTTCTCTTAAACCAATTTCAGCCATTTTGAAAGTGGTTTATGTGCACTGAACCTCTGTAGTGTCACAGATTTGAACTGATCGCTTATACCAACTTGTGTAATTTCTGTCCCTAGCCTAAGAGTTAAGAAAAATGGTCAAGGATCCTACCTGGTGGTTTATTTCCCATTGAAAGGGTGTGTAACAGGCAAAACAGTGCATTGCATAGAGCAAACCAAAATGACTAAAACATTGTATTGTATGCTAGCTCATGTATGCTAGCTAGTTCTAACCACAGTTTGAACTTTACTAGGAATTAAATCATAATTGTTCCATCAGTGCACTGCAGTCTGGTGAGTTTTAATAATGTAGTTGCCTGAAGATCCAAGGTTTGCCTTTTTAGTGATACCGAAAAAATGACATGTTCAACTTTGCCACCATAGATCAAGTACCTTAGGAGCTGACATAGCAACTGTTTGTGATTGGCGAGAACATAAGGGCTCTATAGTTGTATAGCTTCATGTCTTAGAGAATCTCTTAGTGGCTACAGAACACATTTCCGGAACTGACCCAGAGATAGGACTGTATATATGTGCTATTCCCACTGACTGGATTCTGATGATGTGACTAACTTGAGAGAGGGGAGATATATTTAATAAAATCCCACCAAATCGTCCTGAAACATGTTTTGCAACTTTGGGAAAAGGAGAGCATAGGAAAGTGAAAGGGTGAGTTGAAAGGCAAATGAAATTTTGCTATGGAAAAAGGAACTCACAGCTCTACTCCGGAGCATTTCAAAAGGCTTCTGTAAAGAGGAGCTAATGTCGTTATTAACTCAGATTTTTTCTGCCCTTATTGGGCAAGGGGCAGGGGAGGGGGTAGATTTAGACCTAAGAGGCTATTTTAACATTATTTCTTGGTGTTGAATGACAGGTAAGCTGGAGGTCATTTTCCGATTAATCATCTCTGTATTTTCTTTCCTTTCTCCCCTTGCCCTCTCACTGTCTGTCTTTTTCCCTTCTGCACTTAAAGTGGCTGTTCCTCTATCTCCAAGTTCCTCCTGCTGTTCTGCAATAGACCAGTTCCTGTCTAACCATGAACATGCTCTGTAAGTCTTTTATTTTATTACTGTAGCACCGTGTGTATGTTTGTGTGTGTATTTATTCTTCATTGTAATGCACTTTTTACTTTCCCTTGCTGTGTGGGTCATCATGGGTGGGGTGGAGGAGGAAGAAACTCCAAATATATCCTGTCAGGAATTGACCTCAGAATGTCAAGAGTGTTACTTCCTATATGTAAATCCTATTATTGCTAGCAACACTCTTTTTGTAGTGGCTGTGCTGAGTTTTAGGATTATTATTATTTATAGTCATTGGTTATTTCTAGATACTATACAGACAAAAAAACATGACCAGGCATTAAACAATAGGCTGGTATTTAACTGCAGACAAAAACAATGAAGCCCTATACATCCTGCCCTATATCCAGGGCATAGGTTTCTCTAAACCAGAGGTTCTCAGACTTTTTCTTGCATATCCCCCTCCAGATTTACCAGCTGCTTGTGTATCCCTACCAGCATAAAATATTTAATGTAATGTAAAGCCTTAAATGCTAATTATTAATATAATGAAAATTAAATCTGCCATTACACAATTTCTCCCATGTACTCCTGCCCCCCCTCCCCCAAAAAAGATGTCTTGTGTACCCTCAGAGGTACACATACCACAGCTTGGGAACCGATGCTGTAAAACCTTTGGATCTGCAAACTTAATGCTTAAAGACTTCACTCAGTAAAAATAACCGAGTTTCTTAATTTACAGGGTTCAGTGGCAGCTGCTAGGGACACTTCTGCCAAAGGCAGAGACTGATCAATCTAATAATATCTTAGTTGCCACCTGGTGGGAAGCACCCTTTTCCAAAAAGAAAGGGTCACCAACTCCTGCTAACAACTCTTTTGCCTTCTGTGTACCCTCGGTACCAGTAGCATCAGGAATAAACAGCATAAGGCTCCTACAAATGCAAGGGCTTCTGGGCTCTTCACCCAAATCAGCTAAAATGAAGGACAGGAAGGAGGCAGAAAGCATGAGACTGGCCACTTCTTTGAGATACCTTAAGTTGCATCTGCAAAGGGACAGGGACTGAGGCTCACTTAAAGAGAAGAGTGCTATGCTGGAATGGGGCAAGGCACACCAATAGTCATGAGAAGGTTGTTTCCATACTCAACACTTGAACAGAACTGACTCAGAAGCAGATTCATATTTCAGGTTATAAGTGTGAACACCCGACCAGACCTGTGCAGTCTGCCATGGGTGACAGGAACTCCTTTATCAAGAGGTTATCTGAAAAAGAAAACAATAAAGGAGAGCTTTCCTCTCTCAAATGCATCTTATAACAAGCCTTAGTACTGTTGTCATCCCCTTAAACTTCTCAGAACAAATGTCCACATGGAAAGGCCTTGTCTTGCTAGTAACTCTGCTGAAGATCATTATTCCTGGAGAGGATTTCACATCTCCTCATGCAAAAGAATCCAGCCAGCAATGGTTGCATTAGGAAAAGCAGAAGCATTGTCCTGGTAGACTGCCCCCCTCCCCCCAACAGAAACCCCCATTTTAACCCCATTGCAAAATGTTTCTATCATAGGGAAGAACAGCTTCCTTTTAGTTGGCTTTCAAAATAAAAACGTGGTGATTTTTCTCATGAAAAGGATATGCTTTCCAACTTGGATGTAGTTTTCTGTGTGAGCAGCAACAGTTTGCATCATGAAGCACCAGCAAGAGTCCAATGCCACACTGATTGCAAACAGCGCTTTAAAATAGTGAAAGGATGTTGGCAGGTTTTGGATTAACATGTTTTCCATGAGTACTTTTTATCCTGATGGTAGGTGTTGCAGCTAGATTTTAAATAGCAGCAAATAAAAAGCCTGTTTCAGTTGGATTTTCTTCTTACAGTCCCTGGGTGTCTAGCCATTGTTGTTGTACTTTATAGTGAATTAGAACAATTTAATTAAAATTGTTTGAACACAGTAGAGCAGAAGTTAGCTGTCAGAATTTCTAGCTCTGCCTTATGTAGTTTTTCCTAGCAAGGAGAAAGGTAAAGATAAGGAGAGCACTGTGGACCACGGAGTTGTGATTATAATGCAAGCTGCTTTCTTGCTCTGTTGAACTTTCTTGACTTTCTTTGGAAAAGTTCCTCTGGAGAATTTGAGTGAAATCATCATTAAGAGAGGAGAATTATTTCACAAGAATTTTAAGCATAAATAAAGGAAAACTTAGGCTGAAAATGGATGTTTTTCCAATTGTGAGAATATGCATTAGGTGGTAGAACAGCCTCGTGGAGAACAATGGAAATCCCAAACATTGACTATTGAGAGGTGGATTGCTTAAGCACTAGAGCAGGAAATCATGCAGTAGTGAGAAAGGATGGGCAAAAAAAGGGGACAAGCCTAGAGATGACAGTATTAGTATTCTCTCTTTAAACTTGCAGGATTGACTTTGCAAATCTTTTAAGAACATTTTGCCATAAAGTCCCACTAAATTTCAGCATCTGTAATCCTCAATCACTGCTGTAACATTCTGGACCAATGACCTTTAAAGGATTACAAAAAGATAGCTGGGCATACATGAATAACTGGACTCTTTGCTCTTCAGAATACAAATAACTGTTTTATATAGTGCTTCACAAGTTCTGGCTATTGTAGAACATTCTCCAATTAGTGGCTCAGCTATTTAGAACTATAGCCAATTGCTTAGGCCTTGCTCCAAAATATTCCCTTTAAGGAGATTGTGTTCAGATCCACTGCCTGAACTTCTAAATTCACATCCCGAGAGGGTGAAAAGGTACTGATCTGAATCCACCAGCTCTGCCAGTCCATTTCACAGACAGGTAAAGGGGCAAGTGTGTCAAATAAATTTGTAATTATTAACTTAGCTTAGTTCTACTTTGCACAAAGATTTAAATCAGATACTTTACTTCCTTGCAGTGTGCTTAAGAATTTCTGTCCTCTCATATACCACAACAAATAGCCGTTGAATTTGAACAGCATTTACAGTCACATGTGATACCTGAGGAGCCGTATTATTCGGTTTCACTGCCAATGATTTGGGTAAAACCTCAAGTAAGAGTTAAAGGGAACCTGCAGCCAAAGTTTGGAGTTCAAAACCCTTTAAAGAGAACATGCCTTGTCCTTCTCTGCCATCCGTTACCTCAGGGGAAAGGAAAGAACAACAGAAAAAGAAAAAAGACCTTTTTCAGCTGTAGTTTAAAGAGAACAGCAGAGTTTTCCCTAGTCTAAGTAAGTACAAGCTAAGAACAAGCAGGTCTCAGCTGGCATAGCTATTCTATTAGCACTCCTAGAAGTAGCTGTTTTAATGCCTCCACATCACCTACTAGATGCTAGCCTTTCTACTGAATTCTGATAGAATAAATATATATATACACTGATATTAGCAACAACACAGCTTTCTTGCACACCATCAACCCTTCCCCCCCAAGCTTTTTACCATCACCCCTTTCCTTGCTCTTTTATTTCCTTCCCCCAGCAATCAGGCACCTGCTGACAATGAGGCTCATTAACATGTTTTCCTACAGCATCTGCTACTCCACTGTCTGGATTAGTGCATTGCATGACTGGCTTTTTGCGGCAAGAGTTTTAACCATTTCCTGGCAGACCCTGTGTACAAGCACTTTCAGCTGTAAGTGACACTAGGCTAGATTCACTAAGGCAGAGGTGGCCAACCTGTGGGACTAGTGCCACAAGTGGCATAAGCAGTCTTTTTGTGGCGTCAAACAGATCAGAGAGAAGGCAGGCAGCACAGTGGCAAATAGTGCAGGGAACAGAAAGCAGAGCAGCAGATCAGGCAGAGGAAAGGGATCAGAGTGGCACTTAGGGGGGCATAGGGCTTAATTTTGTGCGGGCCGGGAGCGACCCGAGCCCTTTTCGCGCTGCACGCGGGCTGTGGCCAGCAGCCCGGGCACGCCGGGGCGGAGAGGGAAGGCCTTCGAGCTGGAATTAGGCACGGACGCGTAGCAGTAGTTTAAAAGATACTTACACCGAGATGGCAATGGTGTAGGCTGGAAAACTTGCTTAAGTTGCGGTTACAGAGAGAAAAGAAAACAAAACACGAACCTGCAGGGCACGAGGGTACGTCGCAAAGGGTTCCGGCGACGGGAAAGTAAACCTGCAGGACTCGAACCCGGGTAGAAGAGCTCTGGAGTCGTCCGGCAAGGACTCACACGAAGTTTGCTAGGCTCTGTGGGTCCGGTTCGTTGCGCGCGGGAGGGGATACGTCTAGGAATCTATCGGCGACGGGGAGAGGCTAGAGGTTGATCAGACCTCTGTTGCCTGCTTGAAATGCACTGGGTCTGTAAGGATCCGCAGCGCTTAGAGATCTTCACACAGCGTGAAGTCTCCTCCTCCCTTGTTCGTGGAGTCCTCCAACTTGGGCGGAAACCACTCAAGCCTCTTATACGGCTAGCAAGCCAATCACTAGCCGCCACGTGTGAATAATTTAGAACTGGCCAATAATGGGACTCGAATTAGCATACAAATGGCGGGAACTCTTTTCAAAGCGCATTTCTGTGCTGCAACAAAGAAATGCACCCTGCAAAGGAAGCTTCAAATTGGTGGGAAACTCGTTCCTTGCACCGGCGTTCTCTTTTGCAGCAGAAAACTCCACCGTGCAAGGAAGCTGCAATTTAGCGGGGACAATTTAGCAGTGCCGAAGCGCACACAAACAAAAATCACACCCTTTGGGTTGTGACAAATTTGTGGCATGCTTACCCAAAAAGTTGCCCCCATTGCACTAAGGAAATTAGACATCAAAGTGTGTAACGCTACAGTGCCTAACTTTTAAGTGCTTAGCCACGTACTGGAAGCCATGGCTTCAAGTTAGGTACTTGGGCTCCCTGTACCATGCATGGAGAGAGAGTGATACATGTAAGAATGGGATTCAAACAAGTCAGTACTCTGGCAGGGAGATACCTATTTGATCCTAGAGGAAATGCTGAAAGAGGGATGGGCTGCAGATAGGGGTCTTCATCAACTATGAACTTTCTCTTGGAATTGATTACATAATCAAGGTCAGTCCTTCCTCACAAAATACAGCTGGT